ACATGGCACAGTGGATAAAGGCGGTCGTTAGATCCAGTGACAGGACCCAAAGAGTGTGAGTTCAATACCCGGTTAAGGCAGTGGAGAACTTTCAGAGGGAAATTAACAGGAGATAACTGATAACTGACATCCATCAGACATGGCGCGTGGAACTAGAACAGTCTACCCCAGTGAGCGAAATAAGGGGTTCAGTTCGAAATTCCAACCACGTACAACGGCCAAAACTTTGTGATAAATATGGCGACAAAGATGAGGACAATAGTCCGAATAATGCAAATAAAGAAACTATTTTCATAGAACTTAGTGTCACATCGAAGCATTTCAACTGTAAAATGATGAGACCTTACCATCAATCTCGTACTTTGCTTAAATACATAAAATCTCAGTGACAAAGTTTTGGGACGTATATTTATCGCGCATATAGAGCTGTTGTTAATAAAACAGTGTGAGATATAATACAACAAAGCTATTAAGTATATATTAATAAATATACATATTATCCCTTACCGGAAGCACGACTCAGCCTTTCACGCACTGCGCATGATTTGTAAAGATGGCGTTATGCATGAAACTCTGAGCCGTGCTATCGGCGAGAGATATATATATATATATATATATATATATATATATATATATATATATATATATACAAACATATATGTAAAAATTTCCAAGAGGATAGAATCCACGTAGAACTCAATATATATATATATATATATATATATATATATATATATATATATATATATATATTATTAATTATTTCTTATTATTATATATATTATTAATAGTTTCTTGAGTCCACTTCTTCCTTTTTACCAAAACTTTCAAGAAAGAAAACAAAACCACAAACAGAAATAAAACGGCTTTAAATTTGTCAAGGACGTGAGCGATAATACGTGGGTATTTTCAACAGGTTTTTTTACCAACAATTATGTCGGGAAATTAGCGTCATTATATATATATATATATATATATATATATATATATATATATATATATATATATATATACTCGACTCCCCCGTTGAATTCGACATTTGAGGGTCAAATAGATCAGTTCCTAAGAAACCGACAGCCCGACAACAGCACATGAGATTAGATTATAGTGGGGAAGGCTTCGTGCAGGACCATCCACGCTTTTTGAAGGGCCGAATACAGAGACCTGATGCACTACGTGCCACAAGGTCCCCAAACGACCCTCCGCATATATATCGCGCATGTAGTGCTGGTCTTAACAAAACAGTGCGAGATATAATAGAACACATCTATTAAGTATATATTAATAAATATACACATTATCCCTCACCGGAAGCACTGCGCATGATTTGTAAGATGGCGTACTATCAGTGAGGGATATATATATATATATATATATATATATATATATATATATATATATGTATATATATATATATATATATATATATATATATATATATATATAAACTACTCAAGAAAAAAATTATTGCCAAATATCTCATCAGTTGTGTTGGAGCGCTTGTCATCTCTGGCTTCCGGTGGTCTATCGACAATTTTTCTGCTCCTGGCCGTGTATGACAGAGTGATCGAATATCGGATAATTTTCTTAGGTTTCATTTCATCGCTTTATCTCAGTGGTAAGGGTTTGTAATGATGTTTCTTTGAGGAAGGGAAAGTGAGATGGAGAAGACGGATCTCGGCACGTCAAACAGCGACTTGCCATCGCTTACCTGATGGCGGGTCTAAGGAATCGAGTTGCAATGGGGAGTCTTCACCCTTTTAGACTTGCAACTTCACGCCTTTTCTGCTCTTATATTGCGATTTAAACAAAGACTATCAATCACTGACAGAATTCCATTTCCCTCGCTTTCAAAATGAGCCCCACTCTGTGTTACAGTTTTTTGTGTATATATATAACTAGTGAGTTAGCTCAAATGACTTGACTCACTTTATAGTCCACCAATAGAAGGTTAACCAATCAGAAGACGTAGAACATTCAATCCGTCGTGTATAAAGGCGGCCATTTTGTCTACTCTACCCGAATGTCCAGTGCCAGCTTGTCAGGCGAAGAGGAACAGAAGGAAGAACTACTGAACTACGCTCTGCTACTTTACCGGGATATCCACTGCTAACCTGAACTACGCTTTCCTACTGTCTTCGAAATATTCACTGCTAACCTCTGGATTCTATACTCGAAGACGACCGGCATCATGAATAACACTCTGTTCGGGTCATCAGAGTTCTTCCCAGTGCAGCAAGGTTTGCCATTTTGGACCCGTTTACGCATTCTATATCAGGTTGTTCTAAACAGTTTTTTTTTCAATTTGCTCATATGCTGTACAAGATGTCACACGCATGAAAAGTAGGCAAACACATTGTTATAACCTACGTAATAGAATCACCTCATGAATGCTGCTAATGAACGATAATACTTAGAACAAGAACAACAGATATAAGATTCGTCAGCGGCGCGTAGAGAAGTATTCAATTGCTAGAAGTATCCGAGCCCGTAGCCTCGGCCAAAAATTACCAGTAGACCCCGTATAAAACGGGGTCAGGTAGCTGTTTCCCGAGACGAAACTCTGCCCTTCGACATAACCTCGTCTGGGGATCTTCTCGTCTCGGAGACAGAGAGTTTAACCAGCACTGCTTATGACGAATGTCCAACTGTAGGATATTTACAAACCGCCCCAAGCAGTTAGATGTGGCACAAAGCCGAATTTAATGTGACGTATCCGAGCCCGTAGGCTCGGACAAAAATTACCCGTAGACCCCCTATAAAACGGGATCGGGTAGCTGTTTCCCGAGACGAGACCCTGGAGATCCTCTCTGCTGGTTGTCACGTGCAGAAGAAACCCGGGTGAGGCAACTGCTCGATTTAACTCTTGGAACCTGACAGAAGAACTTTGCGTTATACGTAAACCTTCCTCATTCTTTACATACTCTGTCAATATTATGCTCAGCATCCTTCTGTAGAACTACGTCTCAAAACTCAAATTTTCCAACATTCCCTTCCTTATAGAATGAATGATACTGCATAGATGTTCAGCACTATTTGTTTCTCGTGAAACTTTCTTGTCTCATAATACAAGTTGAGAATCCTTTATCAGAAATTCATGGGACCGGAAGTGGTATTTTCAGCATCCTTCTATAGAACCATATCTGTCACTACAAGCCTTCTTTTGGGGAAATTGTTTTGGATTCACTGTTATATAGGAGGACTGATGTCTATATTTTTGAGATGAGGCATTGTAATTATTTATACTATTTATGTTGTTCGGACTGTTGTCCTCATCTTTGTTGCCATGTTCATGACGTTTCAGCCGTTGTACGCTCCGGCCTTCTTCAGGATCAATCTATAATTCTAAAATGGGGTATTGTAATTATTTACATTGTTCGGACTGTTCTCCTCATCTTTGTTGCCATATTCACGACGTTTCGGCCGTTGTACGCTCCAGCCTTCTTCAGGTGATTGAAATTTCGAACTGAACTTATTTTATTTCGTCCACTGAGGTAGATTGTTCTAGTTCCATATGCCATGCCTCTTTCGGATGTCTCAGTTATCTCCCTTTAAATCAACTCAACTCTTCCAAGTTTTTTGTTCACCACTGCAGTAGCCAGATAGTGAACTCACAACTTTTTGGATCATGTCACTGAATCCAACCAACGCCTTTATCCACTGAGCCATGTGTCCTTGAGGATAAAATCGTTAGTTGAATCCAATGACTTGACCCAAAGCGTTGTCAATTCAGTACCTGGTTACTGTAGTGGTGACCAAATACTTGTAAAGGCATGACACGTGGACCTTCTCTGGTGGTCAAAATAAAGGGTTCAGTTCGAAATTCCAATAACCTGAAACGGCCGAAACGTCGTGAATATGACAATAAAAATGAGGACAACAATGTATATAGGAGGACTGATATTACATAGAAATTTAGCACTCCTCTTTAAAACCTTCCTCGTTACTTACATGCTCCGTTCATGGTATTCTCAAGATCCTTATGTAGAAAAGATCCAGAGACGGATATGCAATGTAATTGGCCCTGATCTGGCATCTCGTTTGCAGTCGCTCTCTCACAGACGTGCCGTCGCCTCCTTCTGTCTTTTTTTTACAAATCCTTTCATGATAACTTCTCCTATGAGCTGCTTTCGCTGGTTCCCAGACTTCATGAATTTAAGCACTCAACTCGGCTGGCATCTCGCTCACAACCTTTGACTGTCGAAACTGTTAAATAAAGCCGTCTCTTCTGCGCCAATAGCTTTATGTCTCGCACCTCTCGCCTGTGGAACTCCATCCCCTTTTCCTATTTCCCTGATAGCTATAATCTTCAACTATTTAAATGTAATCTGTTGTCTCAAGTCTCCTATTCATCTGTGAAGAAATTGTCCAGTAGTCGTTGCAATGGTTGGACGTTTTCCTCAAGGATGAGAAAGATACTCGAGGCGACAGGGATGTGGTTCTACAGAAGGATGCTGAGGATATCTTGGACCGAGCATGTGAGCAACGATGAGGTCTTAGGCAGGTTACAAACAAGGAGAAGGCTTACACTTAACAACAGAAAGAGGCAGCTGAAGTTTCTGGGACACATAATGAAGGAGGGCCTGGAGAACCTGATACTCACGGGTCGAATAGAGGGAAAGAGAGACAAAGAAGGAGGAGGCTTATACTTAACATCAGGAAGAGGCAGCTGAAGTTCCTAGGACACATAATGAAGAAGGAAGGCCTGGAGAATCTGATACTCATGGGTCGAATAGAGGGAAAGAGAGATAAGGGAAAACAGTGCGTGACATACCTGACGAGCAGGTGGATGACAGAACGTGGTCTGGGGGGGTGGAAGCAGAGGGAAGGAGCTTGCTGAGAGCTGCAAGGGATAGAGAGAGGTGGAGAGCCATGATCGTCTACGTCCTGAAAGGACATGGCACATAAAAAGAAAAGATATTACATAGGAGTTCAGCACTATTTTCTTTTTTCTTAATACTTTGGTGAGTTTCTGAAAGGCATTTTTATTGTTTCGGAGTTATGGTCATATCACGTTGAGACACAGGTTCCAATACGATCACCGAAGTTAAGCAATGTCGAACCTGATCAATACCTAGATGGGTGGACGTTTGGGAATGTCAGGTACTGTAAGCTTGGATGTGCGGATGGTGTACAAACACACACGCACACACACACACACACACACACATGTGCATGGAGAAACATACACACACACACGAGCATGCAGACGCATACACACAAACATGAGCATGCAGACAGATACGCACATACACACACACGTTAGCATGGAGAAACATATACATATACACACACATGAGAATGCAGACGCATACACACAGACATGAGCATACATACACACACACATATGCACACACACGCGCACACACACATGATCATGGAGAAACGTACACACACACACATGAGCATGCAGACGCATACACACACACATGAGCATGCAGACGCATACACACAAACATGAGCATGCAGTCACACACGCATACACACACACACACACACATACATACACATGGACATGGAGAAACATACAAAAACACACACACACACATGAGCATGCAGACGCATACTTACAGATATGAGCATGCAGACCCACACGCACATACATATACACACACATGAGAATGGAGACATACACACACACACACACACATGCACACACATGAGCATGCAGACGCATACATACACACAGTGGAAATAAAATTATTTCCTCAGTATTAACTACAAGAAAAGCTTGTTAACGACAACAGCGTAACAGTTGTTAGATTCAAATATATACGAATATAACTGTCTGTTTTCGTATGTGTGTTTGTTTATGCATCGTTGTTGGGGGGTATGCTAATGTGGGTATTTTTGTTGTATGTTTGTCTGTGTGTATGTGAGTAAATTCATGTGGCAGTCTATATTAATGAATATAGCTTTGTGCGTATGCTTTTTTCCTCTTTGCGTATGTATTTTCGTATTAGTATGTATGTACATTAATGTATACGCCTACATGTGTGTATGCGTGTGTCTTTCTGTGTACGTTTGACCCAGGCTATATGCATATTAATATGGGCGTGCGTGCGCGCGCGGGAATGTGGGTCGAGCTGTCAAAATGTCTGCATAGAATACTTCCTCACTTAATCTGGAGACCTCTCACAAAATATTGACGCGTCGTCAGCGTCTCTCATGTCTTCGTCATGAATTTCTGATAAGATAAATAGATATGAGCAGAGAGACATATAGATATGGGATGAGATAGATAGATAGATAGATAGATAGATAGATAGATAGATAGATAGATAGATAGTGAGAGAGAGATATATAAACAGATTGAGATAGATAAATAGATATGAATAGACTGAGATAGAAGAAACTGAGATAGATAGATAGATAGATAGATAGATATCAACAGACATAGATAGATAGATAGATAGATAGATAGATAGATAGATAGATAGATAGATAGATAGGGTAGTAGGTAGGTCATGGAGGGATATAGATAGATAGATAGATAGATAGATAGATAGATAGATAGATAGATGAACAGATACATCTGAATAGATAAGAACATATGAATAGAAAGATAGATGTCAACAATATTCAGATAAATATGACCATAGGTAGGTGGATAGATAAATAGATATGTATATGGATAGATTTTATTGCGATGGAAATGCTGACCAAACTTTATTACTTTTGGCTAATGTCAAAGAAAAAATACTCAAGCATCAGGATAAATATGAAGACATCAAGAAACGCTCTGACCTCTCCTTTTTAGTATAATGAAAACTTTTTGAGAAACGGATAGATATGAACAGATGAACAGACACAAACATAAACAGGTAGATTTTATTTTGTATCTCATCATGATTCATATCCTGGCTAAATTTTACTTATTATTTTTGGCTAATTTTAAAGTATGAACTCAAACATCACGTTTAATATGCCGACATCGGGTCATGCTTTGACTCGTCCTTTGTTAAAATAATGGAAACGTTTCTAAGAAACAAATCCCCCATTGGTTATTATAAGTGAATCTTAATTTAGAAAAACAAATGCAAACAAATACATATTGTGCGATCTATTCAGGTCAAATCTAATCATGTTACTTTCGAACTAACCTAATTGAGAAAGGCATGAAACAAACTTTCTCTTCACTCTGTTATCTTACCAATGGCAAATTACGAAGCTAAGCAGACCGGAATGAATGAATATCGACAATCCGGTCACTCGAAAAGTTACATAGTTTACCGCCAAAAATATTTACTACATTTATTATCGGTTTCGACAAACATATATATGCTTATGGGTTTCTATTTGTAATAATTCTGTATGACTCCTAAAAAGAAATAAAATGTATTTATCTTGATTATTCCTTCCGGCCGACAGAATGACAAATGGAAAATGAATACAAACTCTATTTAGAGAGGAGAAAGCATCCATCTTTGTTTGAAGTCAATATGGCGCTGTCTAGAAACGCTGTCGTCTGCAAAGACACTGGAGTCGTCTGCTTTTCCTTTGGAATTCTGCAGTATAAATTGAAATCTGTAAGTATTTTCTAAAGCTAAGCTGAATCACGCCCAAACATGATTAGTTGAAACTTCTTTTTTTTTTTTGTTCAACTTCGTTTTATTCTTTTGTTGAACAAGAATAAAACGATTCGCCATTCAGTTTGTTGGTCTTGGCCAATGAGAAAGGCCGATTGAGGTCACGTGCTTAATGTCGTTATGATAGATACTGTCAAAGCAGACGTTTCAAAAGAGGACCCAACTGAATGTTTACACTTAAGTACACATACACACACTGGGGCGTGTATGTCTACTGGCAGCTGTCAAGGTTGAAAATAGGCGTAACAACATTTTACAGTAAATAACAGGAAATTAAAGATTAACAAATAAAACAGACCACTAATGTCTTTCCGGATGCTAGCGTAGTTGGTACTGGTAATATAAGACGTTTCGTTTTATAAGAAAACATTCGGCATTTATTAACCAAGCAATTATTGCCGCTTTCGGCTGAAATTTACAATGTCCTCCTATAAAATTTATAATGTCCTCAAACATTGTATTAAAACAATTTTTCAGGAAAATAGGTTTCTCAATTTCAATAACTGTTATCGTTCTTTCCAATATAGATTGGGAGTTTCTTTCCTAACCTTTTTTACTTACATTATTTACATTATTCAGACTGTTATCCTCATCTTCATTGCCATATTCACAACGCTTCGGCCGTTGTACGCCCCGGCTTTCTTCAGGTGTGATGTAATGGAATAACCAGTCTCCCCTATGAATGATTACACTATAGGTAGTAAGTACCTATAAAGTCAACCGTCTACAAGAGGAGAGGAGGGAGTGAGAGCGAGACGACACAAACATGTCCGACCTTCCAATTAGTGGCACTCACCACTAGATCGACCTGTCTGTATAACTGTACCGTATTTCATATTGTACTTGTGTACAATAAACCTTTCTTCTAGTATCCACCTGGTGTCACGTGTTTATTCCCTTAGCATGGGATATAAAAGTGGCGACGAGGATGTTTGAAACGAACTTACACGAAATATAACAAGGTGATTTGAATTTCAGATCGAACCGTTTATTTCGTCCACTGGGGTAGATTGTTCTAGTTCTGGTAGGTGTCAATCTACTCCTTCCGATGGGGTGGCTGGCAAAATTGAATAGCGGAACTGCATTCTCCCCGATTCCAAAAATGACTGTTAATAAAGATCAACATCCGGTATAATCATCGGTTTTGTTTCTTCTTGTTCTGTAAATATCCCCTCAACGGGCCGTTAATCATGCGTTACCATACGGTCAAAATGGACGTCGATTAGAAAACTGAACTTCGAAAGGAATTATATGCATGATAAATCAAACGGAAAACTCTTGAGATCGAGATGAAACCTCCACTTCCACCTTCTATGTGGATGTCCATAGTACCGCATCAGGGACCCCAAGAAAATGGGATCGACATAAAGCTTCCAAAAGAGAAAAAATGAACTGGAATTGCAATGAAAGCAACGATGGCATCTACCTGAATAAATCTGTAAAATACTGAACCGACAACAAGCATATTTTACATTTATCGCCTTCCGTGTCACTTAATTCACTATATATATATATATATATATATATATATATATATATATATATATATATATATATATAAGTAACTGTACTCGTTCCGAAAAACCTTTCAAATTTTTGATTTGCTAATAATCAAATCAATCTCGAAGGAAAAAAGGTTTTAAAAAAAGAAAGAGCTAAAAACATGAAAGTCTGTCGAAAAAAATCGCACAGATGCAGGTTTGAAGCCCAAAAAAAAAACCGATACGAGTAAACAACTAACAAACACGAGAGCTCAATACAACCGTAGAGCAGACCTAGATAAACCTAAGGAGCCAGACAAACCTACCCAGCTTTCCATGACGATCCGCTTAGGTGAAACCTGGGTAGGTTTGTCTGGATCACTAGGTTTATATATATATATATATATATATATATATATATATAGTTTATGAAAAACTAGGTAATCCGTATGGGTAAACCCAAGGAGGAAAAAATCCAGAGAGCTCAATGTAAATCCAGAGCAAATAATTTAAATAAAAACAGACCACTTTAAGGTTCCATATAATAAATTATTTCACCACAGCCCTTTTAAAGGACTGCAGATCATTAGACTTTACTTCCAAGTAAAGTCTGATGATTCGCAGTCCTTTAAAAGAGGTGTGGTGAAATAATTTATTACATGGAACCTTAAAGTGGTCTGTTTTTATTTAAAATAAATATAAAGACATTTTATGTTTATACATTCTTTTTATAGTTACAAATATTTTAGTAAATGCTCTGTTTTATAATATACAGTATTAATAACATTTACTGGCCTGAATGTCCGAGAAATTTTCATAGAAAATGTCGACCGAAAGATGTTTTTTGAATATCTGCTATTATTGACGGTTGTGTAAGATCTCGGAACGTGCAAAGACGCAACGCTAAGTTTTTCAAAATTTTTAAGTGAGAATTTTATTTAAATATTTCTTGTGATGTGTTAAATCCACGTATTCTATTTTTACAAGTGTATTCAGTTTTTATGTCATAAACTAAGTATATAGTTCAATAATATAGTGTAATG